GGGGGGGGGAGAGAGTCTGAATTGAATTAAAGTCTGTCCGAGACAAGTGAGGGCCTGCAACCCCTCAAGCCTACACCTGCAACTGCATGCACGTGTGTGTGTCTGTATCTGTGAGTGTGTGACGGTGGGACTGCAATGCAACCCAAGCTTTCTTTTAAATGCAAAAACGTTTGCGGTGGTAAGTGGCAACGTCTCTTTCCATAAAGTAAAACGACTCGACGTTGGAGTAAAACGTTATGCGGCGGAAACAACTAAAGACAGATATAATGTGTGTGGCAGTTGGGAAGGGGAGAGAGAGAGAGAGCGAGAGAGAGAGAGAAAAAGAGAGAGGGGAAGATAAGGTAGGCGCTATACACCTTTCCAAAGAGCTCCCCAACCCCGTCCCGCTCCCACACCGCGCCATGCCGCCGCTCCCACGAGGCGCAGTAACCTTAATATGCAAATCTCGGCCAAGGTGCGCAATACGGTGTACCGAGCAAATTAGAAATAATCCGTATTTTCTAAAGTTACACGCGAAACGTGTGGGAATGGCTCGACGGGCCCGTAAAGAGCGGCGCAGGGTCGGCGGCAATTGCGCCGGCAGAAAGAGAAAATCAAGAGAGAATCAAGAGGGTAAGGTAAGGGGTAAAGTGGCAAAAAGGGTGCGCAATAATAGAGAAAACTCCAACCCCTTCTGTTCATCGGAGCGAGAGCGAGCGAGCGAGTCGAGGAGAGGCGGCAGTACGGCGGGAGCAGCTGCCCGCCGACCGGTGGGATGCAGACGCGAGGCGCGAGCGCCTGCGGTCGACAGGATAGGCAACGCGCACGTCTCCGCCGTCGGGCGGCGGGGCTAGCTCACCCCTGCGGCCACGCGTGCAGCAGAGAGAGAGAGAGAGAGAGAGAGAATGTGTGTGCGCTCGAAAACAAACGTGAATAACGACCGAGGGCTAAAACTTTGGGTCGACGTAACTAATTACAGTATACGTGTGAAATCCACGACTTGTTTTTCAAAATGAAGCCTATTTTTTTGCCCCTGAGCGACCGCCTATCGTTTAGTCACATGGGTCAGTGATGTAGAGGAGAGGGGCGAAATGAGGTCAGGACTGTGAAAGTTGGTCCATCGGAACGCAGTAGCGATCAAAGTCCAGACCACCCCACCTACATGCCACCGTGGGCAGCGGGTGGAAGTTGCCCTCTCTCTCTCCCCCCTTTCACCAAACCAGCCACCTAAAACCAGTTCCTGCCCCCCCCCCCCCCTAACGCTCCCCTCTGGTTCTCTTCACTCAAACTACAGCATGTGGGATCCAAGTTTAGTAGTTGCTGTGCCGGCCCGGCGGCCCAGAATCACTGAGGCTGCGTGGTGGTTGCCCCGCATGGCAGAGGCAGACTCACGTAGTGGTCCAGGAGAGCCGAGGCCTACTACACATGGAAGGCATAACAAACTAACAAACGGTTTAAAAAAACACAGGGGAAAAACGACCCAGTCGAAAAGAAATGTGATCTCGCGGCAACTCTTTACCAAACAGAAAAACAAAAACAAGAGTTTCTTGCCACGGAAAACGCGGAACCGGAATTCGCGCATTAGTCTGCCGGCCGCGGCCACTGGAGCTCCACCGAAACGGCCCCGGCCAGACCTATCAGCCCGGCCGATCACGGACCCCCTGGAAGCGTTTGGTTTTGTGGCCGCACCCGCGCCACACCCACACCCACACACTTACACACACGGACACACACACACACACACATTCCTCTGGTAACCAGGAGGCCGTGCCCGATCCACTTACGCTGCACTTCCCCCTTGTAATCGCGGGCGGCGCACCAGTGGAGCGGCGGCAGGGCCGAAGGAAACGCACACCCTTCCGACCGGCGGCGTGTAGTAAAAAGAAGAAAAAAAAGGGGAGGAAAAAAAAACACAAAACGAAAACTCGCGGCACACAAAAGGGCGCCGCGGCGGTGGGTATTTGAACACGCGGGGTGAGCTGAGCCCCGCCGCGCCGCGCGGGAAGTCCTTCCATTTAGGAGGGCTTTTAAAAGCCTGCCGCCGACGCTGCTGCTGCTGCTGCTTCGGGTGTGGGATTACCTAGCGTGTCCGCACCTCCACCCCCTTCCAGCCCGCACACCCCACCCCTTCCTGTTCCACAGACACTAGAACCAGGCCCCCACCCGGCTGCTGCTACTGGCTCCAAATGCGATGAGCTTGTCCACCTGATATCCGCCCCCCAATTGGGAGGAGAGTGCGAGAGAGAGAGAGAGTGCTAGAGAGGGAGATAGAGAGAGAGAGAGAGAGAGAAGGGGGATAAGGACGGACAGCAGATCCCTCCACAGGCCAATCAGCGGCCGGGAATCACTTACGCAACGTGCTCGATTGGTGCAGCCGAAATCAGAAGAACACTGACCCTCTCACCCACACGGCAGCGTCAAAGTCGGCGCGTGAGGGCGAGCAGGGGCTAGGTAGCAGTGCACGACGTTGGTATGTTGGCCCGCCCTGCTCTGCCAATTTTGCAGCAGGAGTAGCGGCAGCTCTCGTCATAAAAATGACGAACAGGTGGGGTCACCGTCTCTCTCTTTCTCTTCAGCATGCTCAAATACACACTAGCGTGCATAGACACAGAGGCCACTATCCGACCCACTAGATAAGACTTCTCCAGATACCATGCAAATAGGAGAACGTTCGAATCTGCATATGCTGGCGCGAGGAGGGCGAGGGGAGTGGCAGACGAGGGTCATAGCCGAACATGGGGAGTGGAATTCGTTCTCCACGCGCGGGACCAGAGCTCGGGGTAAGTGGTGTGCTGGTTGGTAGTGATGACTGGATAGATGGTGAAGGGAGTAAAGTGGTGCCGATGCTGATACTGTTGTAACAGGCAGTGGTATAGAGTGGTGGTGGTAGTGGTGCTGGTAGTGGTGGTGGTGGTGGTGGTGGTGGTGGTGGTAGTGGTGCTGGTAGTGGTGGCGGTGGTGGTGGTGGTTGTGGTGTCGGCGGCGAGCAGTCGCAGCTGTCTCGTTCCACGGAGCCAAGTCGGGGAGGAACGCGATGAAGCCCCAACTTTCACCCACAAGGGCCACACAGCACTGCAGGCAGTAACAAGCCGCGCCACGCCACGCCATGACACATTGCGGACACGGCTGTGGCATGTTGAAATGTAGGGAAGGGGGTTGGTGGCTCTTGCGGTAAGAAAAGCTTAGTCTGATGAGAGGAAAGGGGAAAGGGTTGAAGAGAGGAGGAGGGGGAAGGGGGGGGGGGGGGCGATGATGTAGGGGCGTAGAGTGGCAGTTGGGTCCAGGCGGGGTAAACAACATCAACGCCCACGGCGATGTGCGGCGAGCGCACGAGCGGACAGGATGGCGAGGGGGGGGGGGGGGCTGCTCATCGGCATACACGCCGCCAACACCACCAGGTAGGGGAAGTTAATGGGTAGAGGGGGTCTGACTCTGAAAATTTGACAAACGCGAAAAAAGCACCACGATTTTTCTTAACACTGAGTCAACAGGCCTAAACGGTCGCCCCACGGCTGTTACAGTGTTACAACCATTACAATCATCGAACCACACAGACAAAACAAATACCGTAATGTTTGCGCACTTGAGGCCCATTTTCAGGCCCACGGTAGTAGTGGGATACAAATGATGGCGTGCAGCTGCTAAGCGTTTGTGAACAAACTTAAGTTTGCAGACCTACCATGCCATGTTTTATATGGTGAGACGCCAAAACAATTTGTCTAAAGCTTCGCACATTTGAATATCTGATGGACTGATCAATATCCATTCGCGTGTAAAATTAAACTCTTAAATAGCTGCGCAACACCAGCGCGACTTGTGTGGAGAGGCGCCCGAGCGAGCTGGGTCCGCGAGCGCCGTGCGCCCGGCAGGCCCGGCGAGCGCCAGTGCCGGCTGGGCTGCCTACCGCGCCGGGCTGTGCCCGCCAGCGGCCGAGCCGAGCGGGGCACAAGGAAGGACGTAGAGGATGGGCAGACTGAGGTTGATGAGAAGGCCAATCCAAAGCAGATTAATGCTACGAAACGACATTAGGGCAAAGAAAATGACTTTTCCACGGAGAGACAGAACTACGTGCACTATGGACCACTTGCAGCCGTGGGTCTCGGATACTACTTCCCCACCGAAGCCACAGCCGCCGCACAACCTCAGCCGTGTCGGAACTTCCAACACCAACCGTACCGCGGCGGTGGCGCGGTGTAACAGTGCCTACCGTTCAGACTTACTAATTTTTTAAAAATGTTAGAGACATCTGCTATTATTTGGCAAAGTGACACGACGGCGATCAACGAACTAACAGTATCGAAGTTTAATTAACGACAGTCTGGGCGAGCTTCGCTAGCTTATACGCTCCAACCACCACAGCGGCAGGGCTCCTTTGTTACTCGGTTGCGCATTTTAAAGCTCAGCGTTGGGACGCTCCGTCCCGCCTCGCCGCGGACGCGTGGAACTACAAAGCTGTGAAATGTGATAACATATCCGCCCTGGCCCACCGTGCCTCTGCCCAGCCGAGCGTCGGGGGATTGTTTTCACTTCCAAATCGGCGGGCAGCAGCAGCAGCGGCGCGAAGGGCGAGGGTAGGGGAGCAAAGGGAGAGGGAGAGGACGGGAGGTGAAGGAAGAGGAAGAGAGATAAAGGACGAAGGATGAAGAGGAAAGGAGAGCGACTGCACGAAGCCCTCCATACAGAGAGCACTATCAGCGATTATCTTCGAAAATGAATTTTTAAACATTAATAGCTAGAATAAAAAAGCAGACTTTGTGATTGATTTTGTATCATATATGATGAGTTTTCTCATAGAGTTATGTAAACGTGCATGCAAAAGGAATGGCTAAAAAAAGATCGAGAGGAAAGTGGGAAAGTGGAGGGGACGTCAAAAGGGGCCAAGTGTAAAGCAAATGATTTGGGAAAGGGTAGGGTGGGGGGAGTGGGGGGGGG